ACCCAACATTTATGATTATGAGTCTTATGACGACGGTAGAAGCAAAGTCGATGACCCCAGCTCCGTATAGCTACTTCGCAACGAGAATCCCAACGATCGATCGCAGACAATAGCCGTTTTCACATTAGAAGACGGACAAGTCGTCTAGACGAACAAATCGTCTCAAAATCGTCTTTTAGTCGAACAAATCATCAGATGTGAAAACGTGTCGGACAAAATTTTAGACGAACAAGTCGTCTGAATTTGTTCGACTACTTGTCCGACTGTGAAGACGATTTTTGAGAGACGATTTGTTCGTCTAGACGACTTGTCCGTCTCTAATGTGAATAGGGCTATTGAGTCCTCAAATACCAGACCTGCCAACAAGTCAACTAAGCATAAACAAAGGCGGCATGCTAATGGATCAAGTAATCAGCACAATGCAAAAGATGGCAAAAAGAAATTAGTCTTTATTGCCGGGGACTCTATTGTTCAGAATGTCGTGCATGGCTGGGAGATGTCAAATACCGACAGAACTGTTGCCGTAAAATCTTTCTCAGGAAGCAAAGTCAATGATATGCAAGACTATTTGAAACCATTGCTTCGTCGCAACCCACATCAGATAATTTTCCACGTTGGTACAAACGACATTAAGTCAGAGAAATCTCCCGACCAGTTGGTAGAAGGTATTGTGAAATTAGTTAGTCAAGTGCGAGAAAAATCTGCACATATCTAAGTAGCCATCTCGGCTCTTACCATCAGAAAAGATGGTCATCTAATTCAAACAAAAGTTAATCAAACAAACAATCTACTTAATTCATTCTGCTCAGATAATAATGTTGACTTTATTAATCATACTAACATAGATTTAGATTGTTTAAATCAGGGAGGTTTGCACTTATAATAATAATAATTTATTCATTTAAATAAAGTGCATATGTTATATTATATACTCGAAGCGCTGTACATTATAAAAATCTAAATATATTAAGAATTAAATATGCTTTATATAATACCTCATTAAATTCTAATAATTTAATTGGCTGTTTATGGTCACGTGATGTTGAATAGAAAATTCCATTTCCCAAGAGTGCAATGGAACACGTTCCATTGCACTCTCCGCGAGTGCAATGGAATAAAACGTATAGTACAATTGCACTCTTTGTGTTTTCGATAAATCGCATCCCTCAAAATGCTTCTTATACGAATCTATTAGTCTATTTTGGTATTATATAAAACAAATAATGAATGTTTCTTCGTGCAATGGTAAGAATATTTTCATTCGGTGAAAGATGGAATGTTCCATTCAACTCGGCTGTCGCCTCGTTGAACGGAACATTCCATCTTTCACCTCATGAAAATATTCTTACCATTGCACTCATAAACATTCATTATTTGTATAATATAAAACATGGTATTGTATACAATTAGAATATACACAAATGTATATGTACTTGAACCGCAGAGGTAGCACGATAATGCAAAGAAACAATATGGATTTTTTAAATTGACGTGACATCCGTCAGACTAACTCGGAGGAAATTTTGTATTCGAATAGGTTACCATATCTTAGGGGGTTTCAAGATGGCATTACTGAATATTGTCAGTTTGTCGAAACACATTGATGAAATTCGCTTATTGTTAGAAAATCAGACTGTTGATATTCTGGCACTCAATGAAACAAGACTTCACCCTGATATTCCAAGTGAATTTGTTAATATTGACGGATATGATATAGTTCGCATGGATAGGGACAAACACGGTGGCGGTGTCTGTTTTTACATTAGGCGGACGATATCATATTTAAATCGGGGTGATTTAGTGCCGGAAAATTTAGAGTCAGTATGTTTGGAAATTAACCGGTCCAACTCTCGTTCCTTTATCGTTTCTACTATTTATCGTCCGCCGTCAGCAACCGTCGAATCTTTCTCACAAATTGAATCTTTGCTTAAGAATGTCGATAACGAGAATAAGGAAATTTACTTTTAGGAGATCTAAACTGTAATCTGTTAGACCAGCCGGTTCAACTCTTCTGCTAAAACATTCTATCATGCAACTTTATCAACTTACACAAGTAATCGATAAGCCTACAAGGATTACTGAATCGTCTTCTACGTTACTAGACGTTTGTATTACCTCCTGTCCTGAGCGAATTGCATTTCATGATGTAATTCATATGGGAGTGAGTGAATTCGAATTTCGAAGCTTCAAGCATTTCAATGTTGAGAATTTCAAGGTCGACCTTATAAACTTACCGTGGTATTTAGTTGACAGAGAAACCGATATTGATAATAAATGGGCATGTTGGAAAAATCTTTTTATAACTGTTCTTGATAAACAAGCCCCGGTTAGGGAAAGACGGGTAAGAAATAAAACATCTGTGGCATGGATTACTAGGAATATCAGAAACAAAATGTTTGAAAGGGACCGTTTGAAAAGAAAAGCAATTTCGTCGAATTTAAGTGAAGACTGGAACCAGTATAAACATTATAGGAATAATGTCAACATTGCAATGCGTGAAGCTAAGAAAGTTTACTACAAAAGCAAATTTGACAAACATCAAAACAATCCTAAACAAGCTTGGAGGACGATTAATGACATCCTTGGGAAAAAAAAGGACACAATGATTAACGAACTAAAGCTAGGAAATGATACAATTACTTCTCCTATGAGAATGGCTAAATGTCTTAATGACTATTTTACAAGTATTGGTGGTAAAATTGGAGACCCCTGCATGCTCTGAACACACTCAGAATTTAAATTTTGGCAGGCATACGAGTGATAATCTAAATACTTCGGAATTTACTTTGCATCCTGTTAACGAATCACAGGTTTTTAGGCTACTTAACAATTTGTCTATTTCTAAATCTACTGGATGTGACAAAATACCGGCTAAAATTCTAAAAAAATCTGCTTCTGTAATTACACCATCTTTGACCAATCTGTTTAACTCTGCTATTGGGATGGGAATTTTCCCGTCTGAATGGAAAACTGCTAGAGTTGTACCGCTTCATAAGAAGGGTTCACACTCCGTTTTAGACAATTATAGGCCAATATCAATTTTGCCGGTTATTAGCAAAATGTTTGAAAAGATCTTGTATGAGCAGTTATACGAATATTTTACCACCAATAATTTATTGTCTGAACAGCAGTTTGGGTTCAGGCGCTTTCATTCCACGTCCACTGCATTGCTAGATTGTACCGATGAGTGGTATGTTAATATGGATCGTGGTTTGTATAATCTTGCCGTTTTTCTCGATTTAAAAAAAGCATTTGCACGGTAAACCACGACATTTTACTGGCTAAACTAGAGTTATATGGTATTAAGAACACGCCTCTTATATGCTTCTCAAATCTTACTTATCAGATCGATCTCAGAAATGTCAAGTAAATGGGGAACTTTTCACATTAAAATATCTAAAATATGGAGTTCCTCGGGGTTCAATTTTGGGTCCACTTCTGTTTTTAATTTATATCAATGATTTGCCGAATTGTTTACAACACTCTACAACACGCATGTTCGCCGACGATACTAACATTACAGTGTCCGGTAAATCAATTAAGGAAGCTGAGGTGGCCGTTAATGCTGATCTCAATAATATCAGAGAATGGCTTCTATCGAACAGGCTCTCTCTTAACCTTGTCAAAACGGAATAGCTTTTGATTGGATCACGCCACAATATTAACACGTTAGAAGAACAGCGCGTGTTTTTATTGGATATGAACCAATTAAAGGGGTTCAAGTTACAAAAACTCTTGGAGTCAAAATTGATCAATTTTTAACTTGGGACAGTCATATTGACCAAATTTCAAAAAAAATATCTTCTGGAATAAGTGCCATGAAAAAGATAAAGGATTTCACTTTTTCTGATACTTTGAAGTCGGTCTATTATGGTCTTGTCCAACCCCGTTTCGACTACGTATACTGTTGTGAAGTTTGGAATCCATTAATAGAGGCTAGTCTGAACGACTACAAAAACTTCACAACAGATGTGCTAGAATTATAATGAACTTTAAAGATGAGCCTGGGCAATCTCAACTGGCCCTCGATTAATTAGGGTGGATAAGCTTGGAAGAAAGGCGAAAACATATTATGGCCCGTCTCATGTTTAAGGTTGTCAATAATTTAGCACCATCGAGGTTCTCATCAATGTTCCAGAATTCTAATCATATCCACAGTTATAATTTACGAGGTTCAAATTCGTCTCTCTTTCTGCCACGACCAAATACCGAGTATGGCAGAAAATGTTTTCGATATAGTGGGGTTAAAATCTGGAATAGCATTTCTGAACAAGTAAGAAACAGCGAATCTTTAAATTCTTTCAATAGAAATATTTCCTCTGTTAGTCTGACGAATTAGCTATTTGACTTTTGTATACCATTTGTTTTGTAATATGTATTTGTATTCGTAGTTCTTAATATTCTTAGTGATTTTGTATTTTATATATTTTTGTAACATTTATCTACGCCCCACTTGGAAAGCAGCTCCGGTTGAAGTGGCCAGCGTAGTCAAATAAAGTTTTATCCTTATCCTATCCTATGCATCAGCCTTCGCGTTTATCACTTTGTAAATCTTTGTGTCGTCAGGAAACGTCGCGATCTTCGAGTGGTTGATGGAGTTGGGGAGATTGTTCTGATATAATCAGAGGTCCAAGGATTGAGACTTGTGGAACTCCGGAGGTTACTGGTATAGTGCTGATGATGTTGCACCAAGTACTGTAGTCTGCTGCCGACGGTCCTTGAGGTGAGATCTAAACCAGTTCAGAATATTGCGAATCTAAAATCACGAAGTCGTTTCAACAGTTGCATGTGGCTTACTCGATCAAATGCCTTGGACATATCCAAGCTAGTAGATCATGACATCAACTTGTTTCCCAAGATCAAGCTTACGACCAATATACTCAAAGACTTCAATGAGCTGTGTAACACAGGACTTCCGAGGAACAAAGCCATGTTGACCATTATTAATCTGTTCGAAAACGTGGTCTTTGATCTTATTGAACATTATCGAGATAAGCGAAAGAAGAAAAATCGGTCGATAGTTTTCTACGTGCTCCTTGTTGTCTTTTTGTGGACGGGAACAACATTTGTCGTGTGCTAACACGCCAGTGCTCAGAGATTTATTAAACATGACAGTTAGTGACGGAGCAATTTGGCGAGCTGTTTCTTTTAGTAATCGTGCTGGAATCCCATCTGGACGTTGAGCTGTATTAATGTCGAGATTATGTAATACGGAGAAAACATCGGCTTCCGAAAGGGTAATGTCCTCGATGATAGTATTGTTAGACTGATATATGGAAGTGCTTCAGGGCTGCAGTTTTCGATATTTGGATCAGTGCCTGTGGTAAATATAGATGTAAAGTAGTTGTTGAAGAGGGCAGCAATATCTGCTGGATTTCTTGCGAATTTTCTTTTGGTTTCAGTTATACTTTCACCGAGAGCTTTATAATATTTTTGCAACACAATTAACAAAATATTTGTTGGAAAATGAATTTGTTGGAAAACATATTTATGCATCGCAGAAAAAAAACATTTGAGGAAGCATGGGAATATTCAATGTTGTACAGGGTGTCTAAAAAACGCTATGGAAATTCAACAGGCTGTCGTGGATCATAAACGTGGCTAAACAATTCAATTTTTACATAGGACGGAAGAACAGTTATTTAGCTTTTCAATGATACTCTTTTCACATCGTTACGATGAGAAATGGCCACATACTCGTCAAATAAAAATTGCCGGTCGAAATCGCATTCTTCCACCGTTGGGAATTGCATGGAAAACGAAACATAGACAATTCCCAAGAGGGAATTAAAATTGAATGTTAAGTTATCTAAACTGAGCTCAACTCGTCAATATTCGTCTTAGTAAGACAATAACTCAATAAGAATTACGTCCATTAAACATGGTTCAATTTACCCCTGAACAGAGAACATTCGTAATCAAAACGTTTTACGAAACAAATAGCTTGCAGCTGCAGGCTCGCGTTGCTTTTGGATTGACTAACTTTGTATAATTAATGTATTTTCAATTCCCAACGGTGGAAGAATGTGATTTCGATTGCCAATTTTTATTTGACGAGTATGTGGCCATTTCTTATCGTTACGATTTAAAAAAGGTATCATTAGCTAAGTTTATGATGCACGACAGCCTGTTGAATTTCCATAGCGTTTTTTTTAGACATCCTGTAGGTAATAATAATCTATTAAGCTACATTAACCATGCAGAAATACATTATTATAACCAAACAAATGCCGCCATGCATATATAATATTTTGAGGCACTAACATATTATCTTTAATATTTGAAGTTTCAAATTTTAATTCTTGAATTGATGAAATACTAACATATCATTTTAATCTGTGGATATTTGACCGATCAAAATAACCATGCAACCGCACGTTTGCCTTCTAGAATCACACCATTTTTTTATGGTTGCATTTTATGCCAAGAAAATTCAAATGCCAGTCAGTAAGAAACTTTGCTAAACTATCAAATACAACTGACTAATATTCATTAACAATGTTTGATACCTCTATATGAATGAAAAAACTTTTATAACTCTTATATAGCCAAGAATATTCCAGCGGTTACCCCCATTTGAATAGATGGCGGCCATGTTGGTCGTTCCCACTTGCTAATAAACGCTTAAAAACAACAACAACTTTCATCATTTGAATAGTTTAAAAATGTATTTGGAATAGGCTTAACTTAATGTTTAAGTTCCCTGTTTAAGAAATAGAAAACATACGAATCTTCTCATTTCATGGGAACGACCTGAGACTGCAATCACGGCTTCAATTTTTGAATTGCAAAATAATTAGATGCACTATCTAGTGTATATAAGATATCTATGGTAAAAACCCATATCCGGACCGTGGTCCGTATTTTCCGTATGTGGACCAGTGTTCCGAATGTTCTTTATCTGGCGGGAAATTTTTGCTTTGCAAACAGAAAAAATTTTTGCTTTTTAATTTTCCAATGGTGTGTCACTAAAATTTACAGATAAAAATTTCAAACAATCGAATTGTTTTTGATTGAGTATGCATGCCTACCGTATATTGTTACGAACTGAAACTGACGATAGCCGATTTAATTCGCGCGAAATTAAAAGCATATGCTCACAGACTCAGTTCAGCCATATAATAAACCGATTATTGACCTCGGTTGTTCGGTCTGTACTGCGAAATATCAGACCTCTGTTTTTTGCATGGACCTCGCTCCTTCGTCGCTCGGTCCACACTAAAAAACCTCGGTCTGATATTTCACAGTACGGACCTCACGCTCGGTCAATAAGCCGTTATTAGTATAATTACATAGGTGATTATTGAAAATTCTCCACGCTGATTGGTTGCCGTTGAGGTGATTATTACGCGATAATCACCTAAGCGATTTTCAAAATGGCGGCCGAAGCCGTTTTGTCAATTAAGTGACGAAAAAATGTGCACTTTAAATTTTTTTTCCAAATAATCACCTATGAAATTATACTAAAACAATTATTCACCTCAGGCTCGGTGATTATCGTGAATAAAAACCTCGACTTCGTCTCGGTTTTTATTCACCGATAATCACCTCGCCTTCGGCGAATAATTGTTAATTATAGTTTTGTCCGGTCCGTAATCCCAGATCCATATAACGTAAATGGAGCCTTCTGACTGGTTGACGAGAGGTCCGTTACACGTCAAGGACCTGTCACGTTTCGCACCAAAACAACCGAGTGAAGACAATTTTTGAACTCCAAAAAAAAAATCAAAAATGAACAAAAGCTGAAACGCCCTCCTATCAATACCAATGCCAATGGATTTAGTGTCAAGCCCGAAATGTACTTTCTTTCTGACCAAAATGCGAAGAAACAAGTATTTCTTTGACGTATATATAAGTGTCGAAAAATCAGTTCCATGCAAATGTTTGCTTTCAAAAGCTCAGGATATATTCAGCTATATTTCGAGAAATATACGTTAAAATGCAGATACTGGAACCAAGGACTTATATCCTCAAACATAAAATTATTTTAAACATTTTTTAAAAATTCCTTAAACGACAGTTGAAACATGATTTCTAGATTCATTTCAGTTTTATAAATGCTGTCATTGCATGTTGTCGGCAATACAAGTACAACTGTTGCTGCGTGTCGAAAGAACATTGTCGAAACTAAAACGATCCGAAAAATGAATAGTTTACCTTTTTATTGTCTTGATGAGTAGAAAAGCATCTATTGCATAAAAAATAAAGCTTTTTGATGAGACTAAAATGATCAGAAAAAAAAACGATCATAAAAGGCGATATGACACTAAAACGATCAGAAAAATAAATAGTTTACCTTTTTATTGTCTTGATGAGTAGAAAAGCATCTATTGCATCAAAAATAAAGGCTTTTTGCCACACTGGGTTTTTTTTTAGGAATTTAATTAATCGTGCAAAAAAATAAATAAGTTATTTACCGCTAACGTCGGCCCGTACTTGAAAATATTTTCGCTCGGTCTCAGAAGCTTCTGAGACCTCAGGAAAATATTTTTCAGTACGGACCTCCCAGCCGGTAAATAACATACAGTATATGTATTTTTTTATTTGTGCACAGCTAGTAGTGATATGCAGTTATTTCTGCAATCTCATTGGCTGCGTGAGCGGGCAGCTTTTTTACGATATCTTGACCGTAGTCCAAGAGTTATCTTTTAGCGATATATTTTCGTCTCCAAAATTTACAAATTGGTTTTTATAAATTAAATTCTTAAAATTAAAATTGTAAAAGATTGCAAAATGTACTGAACTGACCTCTATAAAGAGTTTCAAACGTTCACTGGTTTAAAATAGTTATTTGGACGAGCTTTCGACTGTCAGTCTGCATGCAGTCTTCGACGGGTAGATTAAAGTGAATGATGTGATATTTACATGAGTGGTCTACAATTACGATATACTGACACAACATACAACTAGAAAATACATGCATGCAGAAACCCTCGCCTTGCTGACAAAACCATTGTATTTTCCGAACATGAAGTATCTAAAGTAGTTGTCATGGTAACACGATAATTCTTTAAGAATATTCTTACAAATGAAAAATCGCCTAAATTGGCTAAAAATATCACTTTTAATTACAAAATTATCAATTTCCCAACATATATATGTTAGGTATGTTATTATACGTAATATAAGCTTCAATTTAAGGTAAAATTCAACCACAAACGCTTCGCAAAACGTTTTAAAGCGTTCTTTATAAAACTTAAAAGGACTGACTCTTGAGGCAGGGGCGACGGAACAGATTTCGTTCTGGGGGAGCTAAATTTTTTCGGCGACCTCCCCCTCCACCCCCCCCCCTTGGTCAAAAAAATTTCGGTCAGTGTACCACTTTAGGGGTATAATATACCAAAAAAAGGGACGAAAAAAATTTTTTCCGGACTTATATCAAAAATTTTTTCCGGAAATAGGCTTTTTTCAAACAAAAGAATGCAAGTTTGTATACCCAAATTTTCAAAAAATAACCTAAATTTTTCCCTAATTATCAAAATTTTTTCCAAAAATTCAAAATTTCTGGGGGGGGCTAAGCCCCCCCACTTTTACTTCTGGGGGGGCTTTAGCCCCCCTAGCCCCCCCTGTTCCGCCGCCCCTGTCTTGAGGAACTCCACATTTAATATTTGCTTTACTTGATATATGCTGACCGACTTGGGTTGATTGAGTGCGGTTTTTCAAGTATGATGAGAACCATTCGTTGACTATTCTACGGAAACCATAATAACTGAGTTTATTTAGCAATATGTTGTGATCCACCGTGTCAAATGCTTTCTTAAGATCAATATAAAATACACCACAAGTGAAAAGCTTCCGATTCATATTAGTTTGTGTGTCATTTATATCCAATATGGCATGTTGAGTTGAATGTCCTTTGCGAAAGCCATATTGTGAAGAGTACAATATATAAATCATGTTTGTCTATATAGTTAATCGTTCTTTTGTATACAACCTTTTCAAAAATTCTATTGAAATTTGATAACGAAATAGGTCTATAATTATTGGGTGTAGGTAAAACATGGCCCTAGGCCATGGCCCAGTGTATGGCCCTACCCTTGGCCCACCTGTTTTTTTGTTTAATTTTGATGTGTAAATTATGTCAAAATTATTTTTACGTGTTGAGTTCATATACGTTTCATATATATTATAAAATATTGATTTGAGCTCATTTCTAAAATACGAAATAAGTTTTGACCATGAGTCACCTAGCTGTGCGTTTTACGATTAGTACATAATATAAAGTACGAACAACCAAACAACACATGATCACGTGAGAGAATCAATGTCGGCCGCATGGCGCACAACTGCATCGTTTCATGGGGTGAGTTTTTATCGTTTCTTGTAGCTTTTTGCTATCAATACGAGCTGCAGGTGCTTGTCTTGCAATTTAACGAAAGTAATGTTGAGAACTCTCTAACGTTTATAAACGTTTGAATTTTAGAAAATCGTGTTTAAAATAAAAAAATGAAGCGATCGAGGTGAGTTTGAAGAATTACATTTGGACGCTGTTTATTTAAAATATGTTGAAATATTTACACTTTACAGACTAGATAATTATTATGTTATTGATGATCGAAACCTTTTAAATACAAATAACACAGGATTTACAGACTTGAAAACAAGTCAAAAAGTTCCCAAAGTTGCAAAATTATGCGGATTCCGAATATTCGGAATTATCTAGTCTGTAAAGTGTAAATATGTAAATATTTCAACATATAAACAGCGTCCAAATGCAATTCTTCAAACTCGCCTCGATCGCTTCATTTTTTTATTTTAAATTAAACACGATTTTCTAAAATTCAAACGTTTATAAACGTTAGAGAGTTCTCAACATTAAATTGCAAGACAGGCATCTGCTCGTATTGATAGCAAAAAGCTACAAGAAACGATAAAAACTCACCCCATGAAACGATGCAGTTGTGCGCCATGCGGCCGACATTGATTCTCTCACGTGATCATGTGTTGTTTGGTTGTTCGTACTTTATGTAATAGTCCATATTATGTACTAATCGTAAAACGCACAGCTAGGTGACTCATGGTCAAAACTTATTTCGTATTTTAGAAATGAGCTCAAATCAATATTTTATGATATATATGAAACGTATATGAACTCAACACGTTAAAATAATTTTGACATAATTTACACATCAAAATTAAACAAAAAACAGGTGGGCCAAGGGTAGGGCCATACACTGGGCCATGGCCTAGGGCCATGGCCTAGGGCCATGGCCTAGGGCCATGTTTTACCTACACCCATAATTATTTGCGTCAGTTTCATCCTCACTCTTATAAACAGGATAATTTTTGCCATTATGAGCTTTGTAGGATAAATTCCCGATGCGATCGATGTATTTATTATTTCTGAAAGGACTGGAGATATGACTGTTCGTGAGCATTTGTCAACAATTTAGTGGGCGAGGAGTACAAACCGTACGATTTGCTATTAGATATTGATAATATTTCTGAGTTAATTTTCTCAGGTAAAACTGGTTGTGAAAAAAATGATAAAGTTGGTGATTTGCATTCGCCAACATAATCAAGGTAATTTTTCTGAGAAGAAGACAATTTACTAGCAAGTCTGTTACCTACTGTAGCAAAATGCTCATTTAAAATGTTGGGGATCTGCGATGCTTCCGTGACCATTTTGTGGTTTTATTTAAGTCCTTAATTGCACTTATAATTTTAGTCTCTTTTTTCCGACGATTTAATAACTCATTTATTCCTTCCCAAGTTTTTTTAATATTAGTTATGTTATGCTCAAAGTAATTTTGATAATATCTCTTTTTACTTAATCTTATTAAGTTGCAAATTTTGTTTCTATAAAATCTATACTTTCTGTCATCACCTGAAGCATACAGTTTATTTTTAATTGAGATCGATGCCCTGATTCCACTAGTAATCTATGTACTGTTTAATAAACGAGCAGGAGTGTTTTATTAGGTTTAAAGACACGAGCGCGCAGCGCGAGTGGCTTTAGACCTAATAAAACACGACCTGCGAGTTTATTAAACGGCTTCAAACACGACCAGAAATTGAATAGAAATACTGCTTATTAGTATTCTTTATATAAAGAATACTAATGAGGACATGACTACAATAGATACTGCCTTATAAGTATTCTTTTCTATAAAGAATACTAATTAGGAGTGTTATATCAGGTTTAAAGCCACTGCACGTGACATGTTATGGTTGACATGATTTGCCAATAAGCTTATGAATTATTAATGAGTGTTTGAAGGCTTAGATAATTGTTTTGCTTTACGGTTTGATAAATTTTTAATAGGTGCATGTTCATTTACAATTTTATTAAAGTTGTTATAAAATGAAGAGAACAAATTATTCACATTGTCATTTCCATTTGCAACCATCCTATCCCAATCAACTTCTGCGAGATCGTTATTAAAATTTTCAGCAGAAAAACTTGAATAGTCTCACACTTGAAGGCATATACATGTTGTTACATATATATACCTTCACGTGGGTTGGTCATATAGCATAACGTTTTGTGCGATTCTTAATTCAATGCTCTCTATATAGGTTTTTTATGACCTTTCCAATGATATAGGTGATACCTAGTAAAGTGAACTTGAAATTTCAACTTTTTGGAATGACAGGGTGACATAAACATAGGTCCGCTGTGGCGGACATGCATCTACGGAATAGTAGCACCGGGGAAAAAAGACATTGAGCAGATTTTACATAGACGTGCACCCTGACTTTTGGAATCGATTTCTGGCATTTCCAGAGTCATAGCACAAACGTCGCATTGTTGACGTTTTAAAATTGTATTTCCGGTTGCGATAGCTCACAGTCAAGCCAGAAATAGAAATTTCTATACCGTGATAAAACTAAAAGGTACACATTTGAAGATACAAGCTCGAAAATATAAACACTCCACACAGTGTTATTGATATGATTCGAACAAGTATATTGCAATGAAGATACGTCCAAAGAGGCCTAAGTTATGTTCGGCGAAAGGTCTGGCTATATTATATTTTTGTTCAGACATGTACGATTGCGTAATTTGATAAAATACGATCTCGCTTGACTTTCAAAGGCCATATATCGCTACAATGTTGATAATGACTAAAACTATTGTGCACTGAACCGAAGATATGAACATACAAAGTCGTCATCCTCTCGCACAGTTATACGTATTGCACTCTGCTCGTGTTATTGACAAAACCATTCTATTGAGTACTCGTGTTGTTGACAAAATCATTTATGGACAACAGCGGAACTAACCGTAGATAACCGACTTTCGCTCGCAATCCTATGCTCGCAATGCATTACATCGATACGTCATCAAATGTGCCTTTCCCCGACATACACGGACCTTTGGTCCTGACAATGCTTCTACTGATTAAAAATCAGTAGACGCAAAAACGATAACAGGGTGACATATAAAAACGATATCGTCACTGATATCATTTTTTGTCACTGATATCTCTTTTTGTCCAGTCAAAACAAAGATGGCTGAAACACATAGTTTATCGGTTATCATATATCAATAACGATTGAACACCTGGTGCAATCCCAATAATAAATAACGTTTGATTACGCGCTCTGGCTAGATCTGCATGCAGTAGCCTGCATGCTCTGAATGTGTGGCGCTTTGGTGATCACTGGATTTTCTTCATTGTTGCCTAAATATGATAATTTCATGTCATTTTGTCCGAAGTTCAGGGTGAAGGCCAAACTCTCTTCTGTACGGGCAATGAATCTTAACTTGTGGCTCGGAATCATACGCACGTAGAAGGTAACGGTTAGGATCAACAGATTTGGGCCTAGAATCTTGTAACCACAGGTTTCTCTTGACGTTATTCATTTTCTCTCTCTCTAAAATAATTTGCAAGGAATTAAATTTTTGTGAAGAATTGCCAATAGTTCAACAGAAACATGGACGGTGCATTGTAAGTTCAAAATTTCAGCAGAATTGTGAAAGAGATAAACGGGTACAAAGCGTTGTAACATTTGGATGTGCAGATAAGGGTAAATGCTCGAATAAGCATAGTATATGCAGGGGTGGAAAAAATAGGCGAGCACGCAAGCGGCGCTCGCAGGAAAGTTTTCACCAGTCGCAGGAAATTTTTACTCGGGCTACGTGGTGTAAGATTTCTAATTTGAAATTTTGAAGAAAGACCCATCACACGCGTCTCACTAGGAGCTTGATTTGCCTTTAGAAATTCGCTGGCAGATAGCTTTAACAGATTTTTGGCTGATAGCTTTAATTTTTCAGCTACGCCTACGGATTTAGTTAATGTATCTCTCGCCTCAACAATTTTCAAAAGATGTTTAATGTCTGGAGCACTTGAAGAGTTTTTACGTTTTACAGTCAAAATACAAAAAACTTCCCACTTCCACTTCTGTAACTTTGTTTTGTATTTCTGTAATTTGTTCTATTTTTCTGTAGCGATTACCACTTTATCGGCAAATATCGCGATAGGGTCCGGTAGAATTTCGCTTTCCTTCGTTTATATACGTGATACGTCAATTTGTAGCAATGGATACACCTTTCGTTATATTCTTTGCATAAAGGTTGCGAAATTTAGATTATGCAAAGAATCTAACGAAAGGTGTATCCTTTGCTACAAATTGACGTATATAAAGGAAAGAAAGGGATATTTGCCGATAAAGCAGTAATCGCTACAGAAAAATAGAACAAATTACAGAAATATATAAAACAATTTACAGAAGCGGAAGTGGGAAGGTTTTTGTATTTTGACTCTAATTGGCTTCCCCAATCACTGGTCTGGACGTCTAGTTCTAATTGTGGAACTACTAAAAATAGAACGTGTCAAGCGCTATAGTCTAGACAATGAGACATTATTGTCTAGATGTAGTAAACAAACTTTAAAAACTTGCGTTGACTTGCGTGAAAAGTTCTAAAAACAACATGGAGAATATCAGTCATATCACTGATTGTATCGAAGACAGTGAAGCAAGCCAAGTAAGTTCAGACGGTGAAATAACTGAAGATTGTCATGGAAATGACTCAAATGAGTTGCAAGCTTGCGAAGAGGGTGATCAACAACAGGTGTTACGGTTGGAAAGCACAGATAGACGCATAGAAAATGTTACGAACCCGTCTAAAAAACTGTTTCAGAGTAAAAGCAAACGTGAAAGATGTCACATATGTCGAAAAGAGATGCTACTTCAAAATTTAAAAGACCACATGAAAAATGCCCATAACTCTACAGAAGTAAGAGTACTTGGACAGAAGTCGCTTATAGAACTATTTGGGAATAAAGTCAAAGATAACAATGTCAAACGGAAACGTGGCCATGGTGATGTAGACGAAGAGCCTCTGTTCAAAACTGCTAAAACGGCCGACTTGTCAATGTCAATATCATCTGGTTCAACACCGCCTGGTTTTGAAAATACAGCCGACGAAAGTACCGCGAAAGTAACGCTCAGCGCCTCCGGAGAGGACAATTTCGCAGAAAGCAAATCCTCAGTTGCATCTAAGCTTGACGAAATACTGACAACTGTAAAGAACTTAGAAAATCGCATGTCCTGCTTGTCCATCACACCCTCACCGGAAACGGTGGCTGTGGAGTCTGAGCTTCCTACAGTTACAGAAAGAAA